CGAATCAGTCACCGGAAGATATGTTTTTTCTACTACGACCGGAGCGGCTGCTTGCGCAGATTTCCCGGTAGATGCAGATGGAGTTGGCTCTGTAGGAGCAGTCGGTGGTTCCTTCGTCCGAACAGTCGCATCTGGACCAGTTGACTTGTCAACTTCCACAGTAGATCACAAGATTGCGGAGCAATTTGAACCTCGTGAAGTACAGTATCAACCACCATCGGAACCTAAGCCGGTAAATCTGGTGGTGAATCGATCACTGGCGGAGAAGGATCTGAAATCGGGACTCCGCCATAAAAAATTGGAGGAGGAGGCTCAGTCGATTTGACAGATGAAGAGGGCGAGAGTCAAGATCTAGGGTTTTTTATCAGTGGTTTTTTTAGTGGCTTTCTCTTCCCCATAGGGGAGGCCTGAGAAGAGGACTAGAAGTGGATTCCGGCGCCGAGAGTGACGCCGGCGGATATAAGAAAACGAGGTCACTTTTCCGAATTTAGAGAGAGGAAACCGAGGTCACTTTTCCTGAGATTCGCAAGTGAGATCTATAAAAGAAACTAAGCATAGAGAGACGAGACTCTATTTGAAGAAAATACATTTCTCTATACCGCATGAACCAAAGTTTATACATTACAAATGTGTAACGGTACTTGGATCAATACCGTTACACTCGAGTCTATGAGGCAAAAAACATGCAACAAAGCTCGCTTAACTTCACAACACTTACACTTTAGACGATAGAAATGTTAGCCAAAGAAACCGTCTCTTGCACACAAATTAAATGAATCATCTAGATCCTCAGCTTAAGGATCTACGCAATTTACTCAGGTTTGCGGGAAGCTGGTTCGATGTAATCAATCTTGTTTTAGTCAAAAGAGATGAACATCTTCTTCTTATCTTTTACTTTTGTTGTCCCACCATTGCCTTAAGCTTTTCCTCCAAAATGTCCTTCTCCAGACCGTACATTCTGTTCAAAGCATGCATATTCTCAAGGGTCTCGCTCAGCGTTCTACTGTCACTCCCGTCACATCTCAAATGCTGCATTGGACCGTGTAAGAATCTGTTCACAATACCTCGGCTTAAGTCATCAACCGCTCTCGTTGTTTTCTTGTTGATGTCATCTCCCATTTTGGACAAGCATTTCTCCAGCTCTGCCATTCTGATTCTCTCTGCATAAGCCCTTAATTTCTTGATTGTGGGAACCGTCTCCAATGAATCCCTCCATGCTTCAAACTGTTTGGATTCCTCTGTGATTATGGATTGAGCTTCCATTGCTTTCCTCAGCCTGTCCTCTTTATTGGCAGCAACAACTTCCTTGAGGTCATCCACATTGTAAACCCGTGCGGTTTCTGCTTCATTGACACAAGACCCGACGTTTCTCGGAACAGAGATATCAACAAAAAGCCTCAGTCCTCCAACCTCTTGACAAGCGGGAGGGAGATTCTCTACGTGCTCCTTTAAGAACAATGGCGTCTCAGAGGCTGTGCTGGTAAACACTACATCCGCTTCCCCAGCAGAAGCTAGCATCTCATCAAGAGGTCGATATATAATCTCAATGCCCGGGTTCTCCTCACGGATAGCTGTAACTTTCGCTTCACTTCTGTTGACCACCACCATTTTTGTGCAACCCTTGGCTACCAAATGCTTTATCACAAGCTTTCCCATCTTTCCTGCGCCGATTATCAACATCCTAGCGGATGCGTGTGAAGATTCCGGAAGCTTCATCAGAGCAAGTTCGACAGCGGCTGAGCTAACGGAAACAGCCCCAGCAGCGATGTTAGTCTCTGTTCTGACACGTTTCCCAACGGTTATGGCGTGTTTAAACAGCCCGCTGATATTCCTCCCAAATCCATTCACTCCTTGACCAACTTTGACGACTTGTTTCACCTGTGCAAGGATCTGTCCTTCTCCTAGGACAAGAGAGTCCAGACCAGCTGAGACTTCGAAAATATGCTGTGTCGCGTCCTTGTTGTACAACAGAAAACGGTGCTGACAAATCTCAGAAACTGGGATCCCACTCGTCTGACAAAAGAAACAGAATCTGTTAACACTTGCTACTGATTAGTCATGATAAACAGACTGAAACATAAATGCCACTAAAATGTATGAGAGATCTGAAGTAAATAGCGCAGGATTAACCATATATAAACATACAACTTCAGTTACCGTTGGTTTAAGCTAACAAAGACCACTCTAATGTGTTCTATCTAAATCATTAAGTCACACTCGCATGCCATAAGTGAAACCAATCCAAAGAACCACAAGAAGAACAATACAAGATAAGGGAAAAAAAGAGAGGCACCTTTGACATCCATTCAGTCACTTCTTTCACACCACGGTGCTGAGACAAAGCTAAAACATAAATCTCCATACGGTTGCAAGTACTAAGTACAGCAGCCTCTTCGATATGATTTAATCCGCACAATTCGCCAATAGCTCGTGGCCATTCAGCTTCTGGAATAGCAAGCTTTTCACGCATCTCAACAGGAGCTGTGTGAATGCTAAGTCCAATCACCACAATGCTGCTTCTTTCCTTCGTATATCCTGAATAACCACAAAACAGAGTTAGAACAGCAGTCCATAACAAAAATTGGCTTCACTTTAAGTATAATATCATTCAAATTATCAAAAGGGTTGCTTTCAGATCAAAACATAAACACAACCCACACAAAAAAAAATTCAAACTTGAGTAGAGTCATTTGGAATCAGAGCAACAACACAAACCCATAAAAGAGAGAAAGGAACAGAAATTCATACTATCAGCTGCAGAATTCTTGAGTTGTTCTAGGGCCGAGATGCTTGCTGCATTGGACGCGGAATCAGACGCAGAAAGCTCGCAACGAGCTCTCTGGATCAGACCACGCCTGTTCCTATTGTTTCTCTGGAAAGCACGAACACCAGTGAGACCCAATGGCGTCTGCGAAGTAGAAGACGAAGGAGATAGATTATGGTGATTCAATAAAGTTTCGAGCTTTGGGCAACCAACAAAGGCACTCGAAACCGCCATAGAAACCGAATCTCAATCTCAGCTTTTTCCCTCTTTGTCTACAAAACCCAGATCAGGAATCGAGCAGAGAGACAGAGAGGGATGGGTGCGATGTGGAAGAAGGAGATCGGTTTGTGAATATGATTGAGAGGTTGAAAAAAAGAAAGAAAAATCAAAACTTTTCTTCTATTCGCAGGAAAATGGTGAGATACTGGGTCGGGTCAAAACCGGTTTTGGTGGGGGGAGTTGGGGATTTTGATTGGATGGAAATCTAAAGAGATGTGTGAAAAGTGGAATTGAGAGATTTGAGATTTTGATGAAATTTGATTGGCGGGTGGAGAACACGTTTTATCCACACTCGCTGTTTTTGGTGGTATTTGTTCTTCCACGGCAACTTTATTTTTCTTTATTATTTCCTATTATTATATTTGTGACTCTTATGAGATCTATGCTTAAATTTTTGTATGAGGAAACAAATTGTCCATACAAATGATCCGGATATCTGAAAGAATCTATTTAGATTTAGGAGAACCATATGAAAAGCTCAAAACAAAAGTTAAATAATCATACTTTTATTCAATTAAATTTTATTTTGTAATGTATCAAAACCTACGAAAATGAATTTTGGTTTGAAGACGAACTTAAATCTATTTTCAAAAATTGACTTATTGTTTAGTGTTTTAAACCAAATCGTTGCGACTTTTCTTTTTTGAATTTGTCTTACCACCACATAGCTTGGTCTTCAGATCTCTCTCTTTAGTAGTCGGGTTTTCTCACCTCCACCGTGAGAGAGACCGCCTCCTATAACTCTTCTTTTCGCGGCCTCTTCGAATTGATTTTCCCGTCAGTCTGTTGTGAATCTGGTGTTTCCTCAAGTTACAGTGTTTCAGAGTTGAAGTCGAGTGCTTGGTGGTCTTGTCGTGGGTCTTCTCTAATGGTCGGTCTCGCTTGATGCGTTCTCCTTCCCATCTTTGCTGCTTAAAGATGGCGGCTGATTTTGGGGTTTTTAAAAACTCAGGTGATTTTCTGTCGGATTGGGTCTTCTTCGTCGGATTTAAGTGACTGATTGTGGGTTCTGTAGATGTGGGTCTTTATTCCTTAGGTTACAAGTGGGTTTTCAGGTTGGCTCTCTTTCCGCTGTGGCTTCTAAGGATGAGTCACATCGGAGAGTCTTCGCCAGCATCTTCTTTCTCCTGTTCACAATGGCGACTCACATTGATCACCCTCCGGCGTTATTGGTATTAGTTTGGATTTTTCAACTTTGATCTCCTTGGACTCCCTTGATCACTTGATTATCTATTTCATTGCTTGGATTTTGTTGTCCCTGTTCTTCTAGTTCTTTGGACTTTCATTACCTCTGGTTTTGGAGTTGGTTTCGGTTCTGAGATATGTGCTGCTTTCGACAACTTTTTTGGGTGCTTCTCTTCTACTCTCTACATCCTGGATTGTTGTTGGTTGAGGTATGAGGTCTACTAGAATCTTTAGGCGTTGTCGTTCTTTATTTTTCCATCCTCGCCTCCTAGATATGAAGCTCTAGGCGCCACTTTTTTCTAAGTCTAGTGCTAATACACAACCTGATTTACTGTTGAAATTTGTGCTTGTTCTCTCAGAGGTAAGCTAGGTGTTTGGTTTCCAGTTGGGGTTAGTCTTCTCGAGGTGTGCCTCCCTCTTCTTATCATCTTGAGGGGCTTATTATAACACCCGCTTTAAGGACTATGAATCCCACTGCAAAATTCTAATCCCACCTCAAAGATTTCTTTATTATATTGTGCGGTGAAATTACAACGTATGGAACTCTAACTACCACGCCCTGAGAAAGTCTCTACCGCATCCTGCCGCATCCTCCTGCCTTGCCCTCCTATGAGCCATCTGACCACCAAATTTCCTATCCTGCAGGCTTGGTAAGGGGGGTGAGTATTGAATACCCAGTAAGACGGTCTTCTTCGTCTCTCGACCTAATACAACCTAACTACCCTTGAAAACTATTACCCCCACATGATGCCTTAACACCATGTGCCACAACACTCGGTAGCAACTAGGCAAGCCTACCGCTTGCTAGCTTTTACCACACACTCGTAAATAGGCAAGCCCACCGCTTGCTAGTTTTCACCACATACACTCGTAACTAGGCAAGTCCACCGCTTGCTAGTTTTCACCACACACACTCGTAACTAGGCAAGCCCACCGGCTACCTCCTAGTTACCAACTCTTAGTAGTATGAAGGTGTCCCACCAGACACAGTCATAGTACTTTCACACACACACTCTTGGCCTCGGGCCCACACACACTCTTGGCCTTGAGCCCAACGTAGTTGCTCGTAGGTGAACTTTCACCACTCTGACCACCCCCGGCCCTCCCGGCCAGCCCCCTCAAGACTGCCAGGTCTTCGTGTCACTTTTTCAGGCAAAACAAAAATAAGTCGGCGACGGCTGCCCATACAACCGCCCCTATGCAATTATTGACAGTGGCATTGTGAACCTACTACCCTACCAACTCATATGCATTACTACTCTAGACTCTCCTAAGGTTCACAATCATTTCTCTACTCTATTTTCACCTACTCCACTCTTCTACGTTCTCAAGCAATAGCCGAAGCATTTCAAACAATACCTTTGTTCCGTATGGTCGGCCCCAGGTAAGCATGGCTATCCCATTACGTTATCCATGACACATATATGGTCATACGGTAGCCGCCCCTACAGAAATTCACACATAAGATCATCCATTAATTGTGGATAGCTCATGACACCAACTTATAATGCGGACAGTCCAAGCGATGCCATGTCTATCCTCTATCTCCTTGGTTGCAAGCAATCTAACTTGAGTTCGTCAAACCTCTCTGACTCTTTTCTTGCTAGACTTTACTCACATCCATGCGACGGGTTAGCTAAGGTAGTACTAACATAACCATTAGGTCATCCTAGCAGGTTCCTGCATGGCTCTCAACAATCCCTATTAGACTGCCAGACCCTATAAACAAGTGAACCATCGGGTAGAACTTACTTCCCTGGAGCGGTAGCTCTACCATAGCTCTATTTCCAAGGTTTAATGATCAGTTAGTCTTTCTACCTTTCAGCTTCCTGGACTAACTTCTCATTTGGCCCAATGTAGCTCCTAGGGGAAGGGTATAGCTTTGCCAATGCAAGACTCAATTCCTAAACACCCCTAACGTTATGAAATGTGATCCGGGGCATAAACTCTCTACAGAGTTCTTTCCCGCAATCACCAAACAACGAGTCACCCTCGGCTTTGGTCGGAACCATGCCAAGCTTCCTCGAGACTAAGGTTGGATCCCACGCCCGGAATACCCTTAGCGCGTGTATCCTAACCAGTAGCCCAACGTGAATAGGTCTATATAACTTGTCAAGATCTCAGACCTTATCAAGCTATCTGCCTGCCTTCACCTACGAGTCCATAGTCAGACCCTCTGTGGTCTGATCGGATGCTCTGCCACCGTACCGTTTGGTCAAGCCTTTGCCTGCTAGTCTGGTCTCGTATAATGTGGACCCAGGACGCCTTGGTCTCTCTACCAAGGTCCTGCGAATCCATGGTACAGCTTAGGTCGGGTATGTATTGGGTTTCCAGCCAATATGCCCTTGCTGCCCATCTCCAGACTTGCCACCATGCCCACCTCGTTACTCTATCAAGTTGCGGCATGATTGCCCCTAACACCAACACTCCACCGCGGGGCTGTTGAGGCGTCATCGAACCATATCGGGCTCTCTCGAGATGCGACACGATGTCTATCGATCCGTGGTATGATACCATGTTGATGCGGCACGATCTCTTATCGTGGCGCGACATGGTACCTTTGTGTGGCCCGACTCGCTGCCTTATCGTAGCGTAGCACGTCCCATACTGTGATACGCTACCTTGTGCTAGTATTCTGTCAAGGCATCATCGAGGCACCCCGAGGCTATACCGATACCCTATCTAAACATCACTATAGTCTGGATTAAGACAGTCATCGAGGCACCCCGAGGCCATACTGATGTTCTCTTTCCACTAGGCAAATGCTACCGTTACTAGACCGGGTGTCTGCCGATACGTGACACGTCCCTCATCGTTCCCGTATCGCAGTCCCTCACCATCCACGAACCCCTTCTCGTGCTCGACTGTATCGAGTGGAACTCGGCCACTACCCTACACTTGTAGAGCCTCACATCCGGATCCCTTATCCGGATCGAGTTACCTCGACCACTACCTAGCCTATGACCCTGTGGAGGTCGAAACCAATACAATTAGATTTGTCAAGGGTTTTTAAGAGAAACAAGATCTCTGGAAAGAATCACAAGAACAGTCAAGAACAAAGTTAGAAAATACGAAAATTGCGTTAAGAAAGCTTTATTGATATTTGTTAAGTGTTTGTGTGCAAAGTTACGGATCCCCTCTTTCGAGGAATTACAAGAGTATTTATAAAAATCTAAGTCGGCTAGGTCTAACAAATAAGAGATAAAGAAGTTTTTCATATTTCTCGGGATTTTCCATTTCTCATAGTCAGCGTTTACCATGGGCTTCACCATCTTGGGCTTGGTCTTACCATCTCGCCACCTCGCCATCTTGGACTTATGGTCCTCGGCCCAAATGCCTTGTAAGGAATCAAATGGGCTAAGCAAAACCATTCTCAGCCCAGTGCCTAGTACTCCTAGTAGTGATGTCGGCGAGCAGTCGAGCACACCAGGTAGCTGTATCGACGAGGCAGTAGTCGGCAATGGGAGACGTCGGCAGAGATATGGTGGTTGGCAGTGCAATGGTCGGAGGAAGCAGCAGTAGTCGGCAGAATGCTCCACGACAGGCGGGGTGTGTCATTTCCGGCAAGTTATCTAGGTCTCCAGAATGAACTCGACACCATCTCATTTCTATCCGTTTCCATACTTAGCCATTTTATGGGAGGAAACTGTCAAAAGGAGTTTTGACTCCAACAGTTAGCCTCCCAGCTTGGTAATGTNCGTTAGTTCTGTGCCGAGATCTAGAGGTCGGTACAGAGATTTCTTGAAATCGATTTAAGACTTTATGGGATCCCTTTCGCTGAGATTGATCGAGGTTTCAAGAAAATGTGTTGCTGTTTCTGTTGCCGAGCTCCAAGTTATGTCGTCAAGATGAAACCATGAAGTTATGTTTTGCCGACTTGCCGAGCATTCATGTTTTGTAAATGTTTTGCTCGGCAGTGACTTCTTATTGATTTGCGTGTGTTAGACTTGGTGAGTTAAAGCTTGTTTGGTTAAAGCTTGTCATCTCGCCAATGTTGCCGAGCTTACATGTTTCGAAAATGCCTAAATCGGCATGAACTTTGGTTCCTCATGAATTGTTGAGCTCAAAATTTGACACTAAAACATAATGCGTCTTCAAGCTAACACATTTTGTTAGTGCTTACTTGACACTAAAAATGTTGTCTTTGTTGCTTTTGGGCTCGTTACTTCGATGTCGGTAGCAATCTCGGCCTGTATTCGATTATGAGCTCGGCCTAAGTCTTCGTGATGACCTCGACCATCTTTGTAACGAGCTCAAGCTTGTCAAACTCGCCGCTTTGTAGCTGGTTGCCGAGGTCTCTCCAAGATCGTTAGTGTCGAGGTCGTTTCTTGGCGAGTTTATTGCTTTGAATTCTCGGCAAACTATGGATTGGTGCTGAGATCTCGCCATTTTATGTCTTTGCCGAGGTCTCCCTTGACTCAAGGTTTAGAGGTCACCGCCGCGGTCACTTGGAACTTGTGGCGAGGTTGAATCAAAATCTTGCCTACTTCGATTTGTTACCGCCGACTTCGATTTGTTGCCACGGTTACTGGGTTTTGTGCCGAGGTCTCCTGGTGCCAAAGTCTCCTAGTGCCGAGATCTCCTTGTACCGAGATCTCTTTCCCTTGAAAACAGGCCGAGGACGAGACGCGGTGAGGAGGAGTCGCCATTGTCATTGAAACGAATCTGTCATCGTGGTAAAGCGGAAAGCTCAGCTAGGATTTCCTATGCCGAAGAGAAGTCTCGACACTTTGGCCTCAACTTCGATTCGTAGTGGTCAGCACCATCCAACTTACCATTGCGGCACCGTCGCGCTTTGTATACTAGTCAGCGTCATGTTCGATCCGTGATAGTCGGCATTGTCTTCACATCTCGGTAGTCGGCACGTCCATCGATTCATCACACTCGGAATCGTTAGCTAGAGGTCTCCTCAAGGTTCGGTTCTGTGTCCAGGTGTAGAGGTCGGGACGTAGGTCCTTTCGATTTTGAAATCGATTCGAAGACTTCCTAGGACTCTTTTTGCCGAGGACTAGAGGTCGGCGTCCGTATTTATTTGAACCCAACGCCGAGGTCTTCGTTGAGTCGAGATCTAGAAGTCAGCACCGTAGCTACTTGGTTTTGAGTCAAGGTCTCCTTGTGCCTAGATCTCTTTGCCCCAATATCTCCTTGAGCCTAGATCTCTTTGTGCCGAGAAGTGTTTATGCCAAGGTGTGTCTTTATTGAGTTAGAAAGATTTTTGTGATTGTATTGATGGTTTTGTATCGAGTGTTATGGTTTACGGACGAGCTCTTATTAACTAATCCGCTCCAAAAACGATTTGGATTCGTGACATGACCAGTGGCTTGCGTACTGGGTTTCGAGTTAAGTATATTGGTTTACGAACGAGTTCTCTTTAACAAGTTCGCTCCAAAAATAATTTAGATTTTTTATGCGACCAATAGTTCGTGTATTGGGTTTTGAGCTAAGTATTATGGTTTACAGACGAGTTCTTATTAACAAGTCCGCTCCAAAAATAACTTAGATTTTTGATGCGATAAGTAGCTCGTGTACTGAGTTTTGAGCTAAGTATTATGTTTCAGAGACGAGTTCTCATTAACCAGTCCGCTCCAAAAATAACTTAGATTTATGACTTGTGATGCAACCAACGTTTCGTATGTTGGGTTTTGTTTTGAGATGTCGGGTCTGGTTTACAAGCGAGCTCCAATCAACAACCTTGCTCCGAAAAGCGAACATGTAATGTAGTTAAGACCAATAGTCAGATTATTGGGTTTTCAGATGATCATTTTGGTTTACAGACGAGTTCTCAATAACAAGTCCGCTCCAAGCCGAACATGTATCGCGTTGCGACCAACATCTCTTTTGTTGGGTTTAAGGTGAACATTTCGGATTACGCATGTGCTTCTCTTTAAACATATCCGCTCGATAATGAACATATTGCGATAGAACCAACGATTTGTATGTTGGGTTTAGAATGAGCATTTCGGGTTATGCATATGTTTCCCTTTGAACATATCCGCTCGATAATGAATATTTTTATTTGTATAGCGCGCTTTTAATCCTGCGAAGGATGTATTAGTCAGATCTGAAGTATTCGTATAGGTTCGTTACTATGGCCAGCAGCAACGAGAGTAAGTGTATAATGTATGATTGAGCTAAGACTGTGAGTAATCCGTATAGGATGTGATCGAGATGTCTGTTTTGTCAAGACTTAGACAATCCGCGAGGGATGTAGATGAGATTGAGTGAATTATTGCTTTCGATTGATCGCAAAAATTGTTACAAGAAT